CACATGTTTGTTTTTCTGGAACCACTCATCTGTTTCCAAACTTTTTCTGAATTCAATCCCAGTTTGGCTGTCCAGTTGTGGTTTTATTTTGGCTTGGGTTCTTGTGGTTACTGGCGCTGCCAGTTGTGATTCTGCCATTATTGGTCTAGAGTCTGTGGTTCGTGCGCTGTTATATTGGGGCATGCGAGATAGTGCATCTGCCAGGAAGTTCTTTCTTCATGGTAAATGTTTGAGCTTAAATTGGAATTGGTGAAAATGCTGGGACCAGCGGGCTTGTTTGGGATTGAGTTTCCTGGGAGTTTTCAGGGCTTCTAAATTTTGGTGATCAGTCCATACCTGGAAGGGGATTTTGTTGCCTTCCAGGAACTGTCGCCACGTGAGTAATGCCCAACGTATCCCATAAGCCTCCTTCTCCCATACGGGCCAGCGCTGTTCTGTTTCCGTGAGTTTCTTAGATGTATATGCACAGGGTTGCAATACTGAATCATCATTTTCTTGTAATAGCACAGCCCCCACTGCCACATCACTTGCATCTGCCTGTATTATGAAGGGCTTGTCCATGTCTGGGTGCCTTAGTACTGGTTCGGCAGAAAAAAGTCTCTTTAGTCTCTCAAACGCTGCTTGGCACTCCATTGTCCATGTTAGCGGCTGGCTAGGTTTTACTGAGGAAGTTCCCTTCGTTTTTAGTAAGTTGGTGAGGGGCAAGGCTATCTGTGCAAATGAGGGGATGAATTGGCGGTAAAAATTTGCAAAGCCCAGGAAACTTTGTAGTTGCTTTCTTGTGCGGGGTGGTGCCCAATCTAATACTGCTCTGACCTTCTCTGGGTCCATTTCAATGCCCTGGGGGGATATGCGATAACCTAGGTAGTCTATCCTTTTCTGGTGGAATTCGCATTTTGAGAGTTTGGCATATAGGTGGGCGGCTCGCAGCTTCTTTAAAACCGCTCTGACAAGGTTGACGTGTTCCTCTTTTGTTTTGGTGAAGATAAGAATGTCGTCCAAGTAAACCAGGACCCCCTTAAACAGGTGCTCCCTTAGAACGTCATTGATTAATTGCATAAAGACTGCAAGGCCCCCTTGTAATCCAAATGGCAAGACTTTGAATTGATAGCACCCCATGGGACAGTTAAATGCAGTCTTCCATTCATCCCCTTCCTTAATTCTCACGCGATAGTACTCTTCCCTTAAGTCTAGTTTAGAAAAAATTTCCCATTGATAGGTGTGACAGCATGTTCTTGCATGAGGGGCAGCGGGTTATAGGTTTGCTTCACTGATTGTATTTCAGGGCCCTATAATCTAGCATTAAACGTTAAAGAGCCCATCCTTCTTCTCTCTAAAAAGGAACCGCGCGGCCAGCCACTTTAGGCTTGGCTGGCTCAATGAAACCTCTCTCTAGGTTTTTTTTTATAAATCTTTCCATTTCCTCCTTCTCCTTTGGGCTCATGGAGTATAATCTGGGCTTTGGGAGTTTTGCCCCAGGCTTGAATTCAATGGTACAGTCTGTGGGTCGGTGGGGGGAAGCTCATTCGCCCTCTCCTCACTGAAGACTTCAGCAAGGTCCCTATATTCCTCTGGTATTTCTGTTAATCTTTTTTCCTCTCCTCTGGATGCTTTTTCTATTCTTGATTCTGGTAGCCTCTCTTGGGGTTTTAAGTCCATAGGGTCCCCCTTCGGGAATTTGATTTCTGTCGTCCTCCAATTTACCCAGGGGTTCCATTTTTTCAACCATTCCATCCCTAGAATCATTGGGCATTCCATACCTGGGGTAACCACAAACGTTAAGTCCTCTTCATGGTTGCCCAGGGAGAGATGTATTGGCAAAGTGGCTAGGGTAGCTGGCACCCCCCCTGCTATGGATCCATCTAGCTGGCCAAATAAGATTGGTTGTTCCAGTCTCCTGGATGGGATGCCCAGATTCCCCACTAGTGTTGGGCTAATGAGGCAGCGGGTGCAGCCAGAGTCTATTAAGGCTTTCACCTTCACAGATTCGGGCATGGGGGGGATTAATATAGTCACTGTTTTGAAGATGGGTGTGATGCATCCACTTACCAGGGGTTCGCCCTCCGAGCTGTCATCTGAGGCATCCACCGGCCCTGTGGTGTAGGCTGGAGTCCTTTCCCCTTGGTGAGCAGAGGTGGGGGTTTCTGCAATTTCCATCATTCTCATGGCCGTTTCTTTTGGCTTAGCTGAATACTTTCCGGGTTTGGTGATTGGGGATCTGTCTGGGTTGTGCTGGGGGGCCTTTGAGCGGCATTCTACAGCTCGATGCCCTTCTCTTCCGCACTTGAAACATCTCATTTGCTTCTTGGCTGTATCCGATGATTTTACCGGTTGGTGTGTCAGCTCAGGCGGGGGGCGGCTCCATTGTTTTTCTCGGCGGTGCCTCTTCAATATGTCGATCTCTGCTTCCTCTGCCAAGACGTACCATTCCTCAAGTCGATGTGGGTCCCCTCGGGGCAGGCAAGCATCCTATAGATCATAGTTTAGTCCGTCTTTGAAACGGCCAAGGAGGATGTCTTCTGGCCAATTCAGTTTGCTGGCAATGGCTCGGACTTCTTGTGTATACTCAGCCACTGGGCGTTTGCCCTGCCTCATCGGTGTTATTCTTTCACGGGCTTTGCGATCAGCCAGGGGGTCTTCAAATCGTCTTCTCAAAGAGGACATGAAACGGTTGAAGTTACTGAGTTCTGGGGCATTGGAGTCATGCAAGTTCACTACCCAATCCGCAGCTGGTCCATCCAGGGCAGATTGCACGATCCGGATGCGGGCTTTGTCGCTGGGAATGTCCTGCCCATATTCCTCCATGTAGCTGAGGACTTGGGTTAGGAAAAATCCCAAGCGTGTTGGCTCCCCTTTGAATTTCACTTCCAACGGTGGACGTCTTGGAATGGATCGGTGCCTCTGTTGTGGGTGGTAGTGCCTTCCGTCCAGATTGCCATCTGTGGTCCGGTAGGGGGTGGGAGCTCCTGGATCAGTAGATGTCCCTGGGGTTGCAGGTTCCACGTCCCCTCGGTGTCTCTCCCTTTGCGGCTCCAGGAACTGGGGCGCCGTAGGGTTCAGTATTCTCCTCTCCTAGGGAGCTGAGAGTTCTCTTCATCAGGTCAATAGCTTTCTCTAGGATCCAGTCTGAGTACGGTGCCCAGCTTCCTCCCTCTTCACTTGCGTGCAGGGATTTCTCCATCTCCTGCTTCCATTCTGGTTGCTTGGTCCCCCGTCTCAGGGTCACCTTTCTTGATTCCTTTCCCCACTCACTTTTCTTTCCAACGCCCATCGACCAGCGAGGCTTGTGGTCCTGTGTCTCCACCACTTCTTCTCCTGAGGAATCTGGCCTCTCGGATCCCAACATCTGGCAAGGTTCCAGCTGGGTCAGCGGCTCTCTTTCCAGGGAGTTTTCCCCCTCTCTTGCTCCATTGTCTGACATGGTAAATTTTTGCAAAATCCCCCGGCAAGGGTCTCCTTCCAGGTGGATTAATTTTGCAAGTCCTGTCTAATGTAAGGACCCACCCCACTTTGCATCTTAAGAAGACAGAACTCTTGGAATAATTCTTCCAACAGGAATCCTTTATTAAGAGAAAATGGTTGCAGGCATGCTAGACAGGACTTGGGTTCAAGCTCTCCCATTCAAGGTTTTAAGGGGTTCCCCAGTAGTCCCACCCAATCAACCCCCCTTCCAGTGATAGTTTCAAGTATCACAATTCCATCCCCTTTCTTCTTCCGTCTGGATGGAGACTTCAGATAACTACATGAAAGGCAATTACTCTTCTTTGATATGTTAACGCTTAGAGGCCACAATAAACACACATTCAGTCCTTTGAAGTGTGCTGAAGGAAGTGAGGGCCATAAAGCCCCTTTGCTCTCCCCCTTTTCTCCCTCTTATGGCAGAATCCAGAGAAGGCAGAATTGGGAGTTTCTATGTTTGATAATTAAAGATGAAATATAATTGGATTCTGACATTAATGAAACAATAGACAAGTAGAAAATGAATAGCCATGAAAAAAAAGTATAAAGATTTTTTTCCTTTCAATGGGGTGAATGGTGTCTTGTTCTGGAATTATTGTTGGAAAATAATGATTTCAGGAAACTAAAAACTCCAGTAGATTATATATCCAGTAGCAAAATCGCTTGATATACAGATTTTATATATATTTATGTATGAATGAATGTATGCATGTATGTAAAGATAAAGGTTTCCCATGTTCAGTTGTGTCTGACTCTAGAGGGCATGCTCATCTCTGTTTCTTAGTGAGGGAGCCAGAGTTGTCCCTAGACTTTTCCATGGTCATGTGGCCAGCATGACCATGGAATACGGAATGCTGTTATCTTCCCACTGAAGTGCTTTACAGTCCTCTCTAAGTGATTTATAGAGTCAACATATTGTCCCCAACAATCTGGGTCCTCATATATATACTGTCTGTATGTGTATGTGTGTGTGTATATGTGTATATCTATATGTTGGATGGAGCACCCGGTCTACCAAATATAAAGCAATCTGTTCTGCCTTTCGCTTCAGTCTAGGAGCATTTTTTGCAGGCAGACATCACTACTGTGATAACTGTAAATTCAAAATTTTGTGGCTGACAAAGAGTTAAAGGGAGACTAGTATAGCTATTTCAAGCTCTTTAGCTCTCATCAGCTAGTCACACCCCTCTGGGATTCGAACCTGAGCAGCTTGCATGTTACACAGCTGTATTAACCTCTAGGCCATAGGCTCCCCCTCACTCCTGTCAGCAGTGTATGTGTATGTGTGTGTGTATGTACCGTATATTCCGCTGTATAAGGCGACCCAGCTTTATAAGATGACCCCCGTCTTTGGCGCCGAGTCACATGCCTAGAAAGTCGTCTTACATGCCGAAAACTACTGTAATTTCTGGCGTATAAGACGACTCGGCGTATAAGATTCCCGACTTCGGCACTGATTTCAACGCTTTCAAAAGTCGTCTTATACGCCGGAAAGTACGGTATTCTATTTAAACCATAATTATTTACTATTTTTAGCTTACCTTCATGTTGAACGTGGCATGGTTGCAGGAATGCAAGTGACCATAAAATGTTTGAGCACAAAGTCCCTGGGGGGAATGAACAAGAAAGTTATGAACAAGAAAGTTCATAAAAATCAGAAGATAAAAGTCATAATTGAACAAGCTGCAAAACATCATATAAAGCTAGGATTTGAATACGATATTTCTATCTGGGAAACCAAGTCACCGGGAAAGAGAACAATAAAGTACTATCCTGATAAGCACACCTGAATTAAATGTGATCTTTTTAAAAAATGAAATGGTACATCTCTTAATATAGTAGTTCCCATATTTATAGAGATACCATACATATAAGAAAATCTAGGATACTACATATACTGTACTTATTCAAAAATGAGTTTCAGTGAGATCTATACTCAGTTCCAGGTACATATTTATATAGAAATGTTAATAGGTGAGAAAAGTTATGCATGCTAATATAAGGTAAAATAAATATTTATTTATTTCAAATAGAAATAAAAATATTTATATTTCTCAATAACATATCTTTAATATTTGTTATTTTTTGTGACTGGAGATGCACCAGATGGGTTGTCATTATGTTAATGTTGGATTAGTAATTTTAGTTCTGTAGAAGTTCTGGTCAAGTTGTTAAAGTGGTCTTAAGTTGTTCTGATAATTCCCAGGAAAGTGATTTAAGATAAATTGATATTCCATTTTTTTTGTTTTTCTTTTTCCATATGCTATAAATTCTTGACTTAACTTTTTCTTTTTTATAACAGATTGACATGGTCTTATTTTATGTATATCTCTTGTAAACACACAACTTGTTGAAAATTGTCCTTTTGCTGGGTAAATTAATTCAATTTACATTAGATATGATTAATGTTTTTTTTCACTTTAATTGTGATTTAGTATTAATTTAAAGCTGCAGCCATACTTATTTCCCATCTTCTTTATTTCCAATTCCTTTTTTTTTTTTACTAGAAAGCTCCTTATTATGAGCAGTGCGTATGAACATAAGGGACAAAGGGAAGGGGGAATAAAGCAAAGTCAAATTTGCAAGATTCTGTTACTATAGCCAATAGTACTGATAGTTTTCGTCTTCTTGTGGAGTTGTTTTCTTGATTTGATCTACATAAGTGAGGCTAACATCAATCATGCAAAGCTAACTGTGCGTTATTTCTCTCCCCCTCCCCCCATAGTCATGTGAATTAGGGAGATGTCTGCCTGAATTGCTTGTGTATACCTTCTTCTTGTTTCAGACTTAAGCCACGTTTTCCTCCTTGTCATTTTGGTAACAGATCTGACGTATCATTATCAAGATCATCTTCCTTACTCTTTAGATGCAATCACTTACTTTCTCTCTCTCTTCTCCCTGTACTTCAGCACTGAACTATTAGGAAAAGGAGTCAAAATAATTATATTTGTAAACTCCAGTAAAGCGGCCCGGCTGAGGGTGGGGCGAGAGAGGAACCAGGCCCGCACTGCTTGTACGAGTTACATGTACATGGATGCCAGCACAAGCAGTCTGGTTCCGAATAAGCCATTACCCGGTAGTGGGCCAGGGCCCAAAGATTGGGGAAGCCTGTTTTAAATCATCCTGTCAAAGAAAATAAAAAAGAAAAAAAGCAGGGGAGTGGAGTTGGCAGTGTCAAGAGTCTGGCAGTAAACTTTGAAGAACAACATTTGTATGGGTGTTAGATGGTGGAAAAAATGGGCTGGGGGAAACCCAAAAATCTCCTGGCTGTGCTTTCTTAGCTTAACTCATGACTTAGGTGCCTAGAAGTTAATAAAAGCACCACAAACTCCAGAGTAGGACAAGAGAAGGCAGTAGGTGCCATTGCTCATGTCCACAATTTGAAGATGCTTTGGGACCCAAATCTAATTTTCTAATATTTACCAGCTCATTTGACATCCTTAAACAATCCCATTCTGAAAGAAAATCTCTTAAAAGCCTTCTGTAAAGGCTGCTAACCTTTAGGCTTGATTACAGTGATGTGATTTATGTGTAGTTGTCTGTATATCTGATCCAGAAATTTCAGTTGGTACAAAATCCAGCAGCCATATTGGACTTCGGAAGCATGCAAAGAAGCCAGCTGGATCCATGTGTAAAGTATTCCACTGGCAAAATATAAAGGGCTGGCTATTACTTTTAAAACTAGTTCCAGGTTATTTAAGAGGATTTTCTTTTTTTTTTCTTTTTAAAACTGTTTTATTCCAAACCAACTTTCTACTTGGTAACATAATAGCTAAAACAACACAAAATAAAAAGAACTCTAGGAGCAGCTAGAGGGTAATTTGTGTTGCTTCAGCATGTACCTCCTCAGGGCTGTGAACTTTCAGAAAAGAAGAATCTTATTCATTAATCCATTAGTTCCTGAACAGAGACTATTCCTGGAGATGCAGCTAATTATACTGCAGAAAGTAGAAACAAGAGGATGACACCCTCTCTTTAATTTAGCTCAGTCAGCTATTGTTGCTCAATCTGTATGAGCAGATATAGAGGTTCTGCAGTAGGACAGTTTATCAACATTTAATCCAACATGTCTTCCTTCAGATACTGTCCATAATGGTATGAGTCTGTAACTATGTGAGAGTAATTGTGAGAGAAATCAAGGTGTCCTAGTGAATCACCACTTAAATATGAGCCAGTAATGTGATGCATCTGCCAAAAAAGCCAATGTAGTCCTGGTTGCATTAATAGAGGAATAGTAAGGGGACTCAGATTTGACCCAGATAAAAAACCATAGACCGATATCACTACTGAAAGTGGACTATAAAATATTCACTTCAATAATAGCTGAGAGGCTGAAAAGATTTTTGACTGAATTTATACACCCAGATCAAAACAGATTTTTGTCAAAGAGACAAATAAAAAATAATTTGAGAGTAATACTAAATATATTAGAATATTATGAACTCCATTTCAGGGAAACAACTGGCATTAGTATTTTTAGATGCCCAAAAGGCATTTGATAATGTTTCTTGGCAATTTATTATTCAACAACTAAAAACAATGGACTTTGGTCAAAACTTTATAAATACAATTCAGACAATATATCAGAAACAAACAGCAAAAGTGATTGGGGATTATACAGAAAATTTTGATATATGAAAAGGCACAAGACAAGGATGTCCATTATCCCCATTGCTATTTATCTTAACTTTGGAAGTTTTAAATAGAAACATTAGGCAAGATCTAGAAATTAAAGGATTGAAGATGAAAGATGAAACCTACAAACTACAAGCATTTGCAGATGATTTGGTATTCATTCTAGAGAAACCTTTAGAGATTATTCCTAAACTATTGGAAAAGATAGAACAATTTAGAGAGATAGCAGGATTAAAGATAGAGAAAAAACTAAAGTGATAGTTAAAAATCTTACAGATAAACAAAAAAATATCAAAAAAATAGAATTGCAAATAGTCAAAAAGGTCAAATACTTGGGAATATATTTGACAGCAAGATGTTCAACAATAAAAGAAGATAATTACATTAAATTGTTAAATCAAATAAAGCTTGATTTGGAAAAATGGAAGAATCTTCAACTGTCAATGTTATGAAGAATTGCTATGGTGAAAATAAATATATTACCAAAAATACTATTTTTATTTCAAACGATACCTATAAAACTGGAGAAAAAATCCTTTGAAGTTTTAAACTCTCTAATTCAAAAATTTATCTGGCAAGGAAAGAAAGCTAGAATTAAATTGAAAATGTTACAAGAAGCCAAGGGAAATGGAGGTTTTGGCTTGCCAGATTGGGTTTTATATTATCAAGCATCAGTGTTAACATGGGTAAAAGAATGGATAACTTTTAGAAATAAAAGATTGCTGTATTTGGAGGAACATGACCTACTACTTGGTTGGCATGCTTTTTTATGGTATGGAAAAAATATTGAATTGAAATATTTATTGAATTCTGTTAAAAATTATAAAACTTTATTAAAAAAATAATAATAAAGGAATAGCATCAAATCTCAGGACATGATAGTTCCACTTCACAGTGCACTGGTGAGACCACCTTGGAATACTGCATTCAGTTCTGGTCACCATGATACAAAAAAAAAAAAAAAAAAAGGTTGAGATCCTGGAAAATATGCAGAGAAGAGTAACAAAGGCTCTGAAAGCTAAATTGTACAATAAACGGTTGAAAGCACTAGGTATGTCTAGCCAATTGTAGAGAAGGATTGGGGAAGGAACATGATAGCTGTCTTCCAGTACTTGAGGGGCTGTCACAGAGAAGAGGGAATTGACTTATTCTCCAAAGCACCAGAGGGCAGGACAAGAAGTAATAGGTAGAAGCTTGTTAAAGAGAGATCCAACCTAAAAGTAAGGATAAATTTTCTGACAGTGAGAACAATTAATGAATGGAATAGCTTGCCTCCTGGGGTTGGACAAGCATTTGACTCAGATGGTGTAAGGCCTCCAAGGTTTCTATCACCCGGATTCTTTGTTCTATGTGATTAATTTAAACCTTTAACAATTTTCACATTTGCACAGAAGAGTAACTTTTTATATATGTATCTTATATATTGTATAACATATAATAAGTATAACTCTACATACTTTACATGGCATTTCAGATTACACCAATTCCTTACTTATTTGGTTCCTTACTTATATTCCATTCCTCACCTAGGTTTCATTCAGGATAATGTTGAAAGCTAGACATCAGCCTAAACCCACAATTCTGTACCATGATGTTTCTGTGACTATTAGCAGTTATGGCAGTAGCTAAAAATTGCTTTTCTATCATGTCCACAGAAGAGACAACAGAAAGACATTAATGAAAAGACCCTCTCCAAGGGTCTTTCTTTACTTTTTCTAGTAAAATGCAATACTTCTGCTCTCAGATTATTCAAGAACTGTAAAAAAATGACTTGGCAACTAAGACTTAGAGTGCACTAAAATTTCCTGAATACTGCCTTGGTGTGCTTGTCAGAAAAGTCCTTCACAAGTTGGTCATTTTCTGCTTGGATGACTGCAAATCATCCATAAAAAGAAACTGTTCTCATAGGGTTAGTTAATTTAATTAGGAAAGGTCAAGTAAACAAATGTAATCCCGATTTTTCCAAACACAC